AAAAAAAAAAAAAAACCCAAAACTCACCCACATTTTTCATATGAAGTAAGAACACCATTGCAAGAAACAAATACAGTCAGCCACATTCACTGGGGTTAGGGGTGCAGGACCTCCACAAAAGTGGAAATCTGTGAATAACTCTAGCCTCCCACAACCATATCCAACACAAAGAAAAAGTACGATCCACAGATTCAATCCACCATGGATGCCTTCAAGGCAGTGGAGTCCTTTACAAGGCAGAAGCAGAAGCATGGGAATAGCAGACAATATCCTTGTTGCATATCCTCCCACCCTGAAGCCATGCCATTAACAACAGAACAATACCTGTTCAACACAGAACAACACACAGTTCACCTGGGAACCACTCCTCCCTACCCAGGGCCTCACAGTATATATAGACCCACTCTCTTCCATTCCAGTATTCTCTGAAGATGCCAGCCACAGATGCTGACGAAATGTCAGAAAGAAACTCTTCTAGAACATGGCCACACAGCCTGAAAAACCCACAATAAACTATGGATGCCGGCCATGAAAGCCTACAACTTCACAGATGTGTATCTGTAAACACTTTTTTTTTTCACAAAACCCACTGTTTTTGTACATGCAGAAAGCACTTTCCAGAAATGTACCTGGTTTGGGGTAGGGTGGGTTGTTTGTTTTCGCCCCACAAAATTGCTGGTTTTGAGCAAAATGCTTCAATTTTGCCTCCACTGTAGTTTTGGAAACAGTGCTTTCGGGGATGTTAAAAAAAAAAAAAAGGATCTTTTGCAGGAAAAAAAGACATCATTATTTTTTTTTTCTTGCTCACTCATAACATTGTGTATATTTCTCTGCAGAACCATTTCCCACAGTACTTTGAGAAGGGCAAGTAAACAGGTAAAAACCACACCAAATTCTTGCCTCTCTGGCATTGTGTGCAACCAAATGTCTGAGTATCAGGAAACCAGTTTTTCAGCCAGGAAAGGAACATATTCTTTCCATCTGTAGTCAAGAGAGGCCAATGGATGTAGAAACAGCCCAGAGGTCCACATGCTTTCCAGATCCCTGCTTTCCAAACTAGAAATGGTTGCAGTAATTGGGTGACAATCACTGAATGCGGAGACATCTTTGGCTACAAGAATTCAGAGACAATAATGCCACATTAGACTGGAATATCAGCATGCAAAGGGATGTTGTAGAACCTTTGAGACTTGTGATGTTTGGAAGGTTCATGCTGGTTTCGGTGCACAGAGAAGACCTGAAATGTAAATATACAAGCACTGTCATTATCGAAGCACTATTCTTTATATTTCTTTCCCAGTCGTTCTTTTTTCTCAGTGTTGGAGATGGGGAGGTGAAAGGTACACTTGATTGTCCGACTTTGCTTTTTGTTTAAAAGTTTTTAGAACTGCTAAGCGGAGACGCCAAGGTCATCACTCACTTTAATGCCCGAGACTCTGTTGTCGGTCTTTTATGAAGAACAGGAAGGATGGTGTGATTATTCTAGTTAATGACTCTGTGTGTGTGTGTGTGTGTGTGTTTTGTTGTTGTTAACTGCCCTCAAATTGATCTCGACTCATGATGACCCTATGGATGAGACATCTCCAAGAAGACCCTCTCTCCTCCCCTGCTCTCCTTAAACCCTGCAACCCCTTAATAAATCCCCATAGGGACCTCCTTAATAACAGAGTCCATCCATCTGGCATCTGGCCTTCCTCTCTTCCTCCTTCCCTCCACCTTTCCCAGCATTATTGTCTTTTCCATAGAGTCCTCTCTTCTCATGATGTGTCCAAAGTATGACAGCCTCAGTTTGGTCATCTTGGCTTCTTCCAGGAAGGTTTCCAGCTTGATCTACTCTAGAACCCATTGGTTTGTCCTTTTGGCTGTGCATGGGATCCTCAGCACTCTTCTCCAGAACCACATTCTATTAAATGTGTTGATCTTCTTCCTATCATCTTTCTTCACTGTCCAGCTCTCACATCCATCCATGGTCATAGGATGGGAGGGTTGGATATGGAATAGGAATGTTTTTAAGCTGTATATTTTATAATGCTGTAAATCGCCTCGATTGCTCCGCAGAGGGGCGGGCTATAAATAAAAAATTATTATTTATTATGATTCTGACTTCTGTGCTGAATTGTATATCTTTTCATTTTAAAATCTTTTCTCGTTCTTTCATAGCCACTCTCCCCGTTCTTAATCTTCTTCTGATTTCCTGACTGCAGTCCCCATTTCTATCAATGTTTGGTCCCAGATATGAGAACTATTTTACTATTTCTATTTCTTCATTGTCTAGCTTGAACTTGTGTGAAGATCCTCGGTGGTCATTATTTTTGTTTCCTTTATGTTCAGCATTAAGCCTGTCTTTGCACTGTCTTACTTATGTATAAGTTTAGAAATTTGAGTCAAAAAGATCAACCCATAAAAGGGGCTTGACTTATCCATGGGTCAATGGAAATACTGTACCTGTTTAAAAGGAGCCACCTCCTTCTCTGAGTAAGTAGCACAAGGGGAAAGCTTAGTCCATCGCTGGAGAACCTAAAAGAAGCACGGATCCCCTTCTGCTTTCTACCATGAGGACCATTTCTGGCCTTTTTGAATGCCTGGGAGCAAAAGGGGGGGGGGAATGGTGATGGTAGCGGCAGCTCTATGCTATTTCCCCTCCAAGAGGAATTGGGCTTTGAAGGATATGAATAAGACCTTTGTGTCTGTCGGTCAAGATTTCTGGGTTAAAACAGGCAAAAGTGGTCACGTTAAAGTTATGACATCACTGCTAATACTTTGCTTTGCTTTGCTTTTTTGTCCTTTTGGACATGGGTGCTTTTTCTTAGACCGTCCATATATTGTTTTCCTTCTGCTTTACCAACCATCCTTGCCTTTTCCAATTAACCGGTTTCATGATATGTCCACAGTCCAATAGCCTTTGTCATGGTGGCTTCATAGAATCATTGAATCATAGAGTTGGAAGTGACCCCAAAGATCATCCAGTCCATCCCCATTCTGCCATGCAGGAACTCAAAATCAAAGCAGATGGCCATCCAGCCTCTGTTTAAAGACCTCCAAGGAAGGAGACTCCACCAAAAGCTTCGAGGGAATGTGTTTCATTGTTGAACAGCCCTTACTGTATTAATGTATTTTTTGTTCACCGCCTCGATTGGTTTACCAGAGGGGTGGTATATAAATAAATTGTATTATTATTATTATTATTATTATTATTATTATTATTATTATTATTACTGTCAGGAAGTTCCTCCTAATGTTGAGGTGGAATCTCTTTTTCTGGAGCTTACATCCATTGTTCTGAGTCCTAGTCTCTGGAGTGGCAGAAAACAAGCTTGTTCCCTCCTCAATAGGACATCCCTTCAAATATTTAAAAAGGGCTATCATAGCCATCTCTTCTCCAGGCGAAACATACCCAGTTCCCTAAGTCATTCCTCATAGGGCTTCATGGTTTCCAGATGCTTCACCAGGGAGGGATCAGGCAAGCATGGCTCCCTTGGGTTTGCCTCTTGTGAGCCCACTCTCTCAGCCCTGCAGGGGGCGCCAGCTGTCATTGTTGCCCAAGGCCACCCAATGGGTTTCCATGGCTGAAGTGGGATTCGAACCCTGGTCTCCTGGCCCAGTCCTCAGAGCACTGCACCATTCTGGCTCTAAAAAGTCTATCCCAGGATTTTTCTGGCAGGATTTCTGGCAAATAGACTGGAAGGGTATTGATGCAGCTCTTCCTTCTGGCCATGTGGATACTGGGAGATTCAGTTTTTCTCAAATCCTCTGATTTGATCTCAAAGGTGGCTAGTCCTCAAGAACTCAAGAAATCTTTGATTTGAGACAAACTGGACCTCCAAGGCAGTGGTTTTTTTTGTCTTGCAAAAGGGATTTAAAGATTGCTTCCAAGACTGAATCTCCCAGTATCCTCATGACCAGGAGGAGCAGCGGCCCACCTGCAGGAATACCCTTTCAGACCATCTGAACTGAAGACAAGCACCACAGCATCTGGGCCAAAGGCAGGGCTAAGACTAACATTGTCAGTGTCTTTGTTTTCTCCTCCTCTATGATTTGTATCCCCTTTGCCCTATGAAGGTAGATTTGGGTTGGCCCCATCAAGGTACCCCTCTCTTGTGGATTCTGGATGATGCTGTAGTTTGTTGGATGCCAGGTTCCCTCTTGGAGGCTGGGAGTGAATTCCAAATGGATGGAGGCATGGAGCCATCTTGTCTAGGGACATCTGGCAAGTTTGGTTCCAGAT